TTGATCTGTATAAAAACTGATAAAATCACAATAATAATTGAAGAGACTGACAATTCCTTCTAGTTCTTTGAGTATTATAGAGAAGACTAGATTAGTAATAGTAGCTACTTTCTCTTCTTGAGTAGATATGTCTAGTCAGTCAACATGATGACTCAGTAAATACACTAAGAGATATATGAAATAATATTTAGTTAATAACATTATTATTCCAGACATCTCAAGAGCTGTGAAGACTTGCTGTATATAATGAAGATGTTCATTCAGCAAGTGAGAGAAGATGATGATATTATCTACATAGACTAACATGAATTATTATAGAAATTTCACTAGAATCTTCTTCATACACTGTTGAAAGAACTCAGACAAGATTGTCAATCTTATTATGATAACTGTAAAACATTCAAGATCTCAGTGCAGAATTATAAACATGATTTTAAATAATTACTCTGTTCAATCACTTATTAAATGAAGCCTTAGCAGATATTCATGAATGAGAATATCATAGAACTGCTAAGTAATTGCAATACATCTTATTATATCAGTAGAGAATATGCATTGAGAAGTAAGTATATGTTTACTTTTCACAAATCAATCATCATTCTCAGCTTTCTTCTAAGTCAGATCACAAAGGCAGGTGAAGCAATGAGATTTCTGTCTCTGAGAGAAACACATTTAATTCTTCTATCTTACAGAAGCAGATTCAGAATCTGATCAGCAGCTTCACAATCTCTTCAAGATAGAGACTAGAGTCTCTATTTCAGATCAGAAAAGTTACTCTTATCAATGAACTGCAGTGACATCTTAACATCATTCAAAAATAAATCTAGGCTGAAGCTAAATAGTTTATAATGTTAGTTAATAATCACTTGAATGACTGCTCAGTCTTCTGCTACTCAGTGATCTGATATATTCACTTAAACTCACTCAGTGAGAGTGTCTACTGTGAGAATTTAAAGTGAATTATTCTGGTCTTTCATATCTGTCAAATGTAATTCAATGTACAAGGTAGGAAACAGAGAATCTTTCAAGTCAGAATAATGAATGATATTAGTATTAACAGTACAAATAGTAATCTTCTTTCACTGTCAAAGCAGCTGTGAGTTTGATGAGCATCTATCTGCATGAATAGCATCTCTAATAATCTTGACATTTATGAAATATCTTCTGTGAAATGTAACAAGCTTATCATAAATATTGATAATTGCTTTTATCAATAATAATACATCATTAGCTATGATTATATTACATCTGAGATATCACACTAAGTAGAATTTGTCTTCAACAATGAAAAGAGAATTCTCATTCACTCTCAAGATAAGATCTGTTATTATGAATAGATTTGATTCATCAGCTTCTGAGCTAACTTCTCAAATACTTATATATCAATCATGTGATATAGAGATCAGTCAACAAGGAGAAAAGAATAGACTTGCTATTATTGCATTGATAAGTGATATATCTGCATCTGTATTCACATAAATAGAGAGATTGTCTTGTGACATAATAACAGAAATAATGAGAAAGATGTAAGATAAATACTGTAGTTCACTAACATATTCTCAATCACTTATAGAGATGTCACATATCATAATTACATATATATCAGTATTAAAGATGTTCTGATAATCATCTGAGAGAATGTCTGTAGATAAGATAAGTCTCTCAGTATCTGTCTCACTGATTATTTTTCTGACTCACTGTCAGAATCTAGACTGAAATCTAGATTCAGCAGCTTATCATTATCTTTCTCAATATTCTTCAGTTTGACTTGATTTGCTGAACAATCACTGTTCTTCTCTTTTTTAAGACAGTGATTAATGTAATAAGAGTCTTCATAGATATAGTATTCTGCTGCAGATATCAGCAGTCTTTCTTCTTCTGTTATATACTGAATCAGTAACTTACTCATTGTAAGAGCATTTATGAGAATTACTGCTATCTCTGCAGTAGACACAGACAGCTTTGTAGCTTCTATCTGCTTGAATAGAGAGATGTGATACAGATGATAGTCATTATTCTATTCAAAATATCTGAAACTATACATGTAGTCAGTGAATTGAGTCTTTCAATCAGTTCAGATATATCAGATAACTGACTTATTATCTCTAATTCATTATTAAAAGTTATTTAATTATTCAGCAGAAATGAGTGATATAATTAAGAAAAGATTGAACTCTAAACTCTTTTATAAGAGTCTCTTTATCATAACAGAGTCAGAGATTGCAGCAGCTCATAGTAAGTTAATCTTTCATAAGATGTATAATATCAGAGACAGTTTATCTAACTTCTTAAAGAAAAAATACAGAGTCTGAGCTTTTATTCAAGCTTCTTCTTCTAATAGCTGAAACTCATGTTTTAACTCATTGACAGTGATAGAGAGAAAGATATTCATATTCTTTCTCATTTCAATAGATAGATTATTATGTCATTTCAACATCTGATTCTTCAGATACAGAAGAAATACACAGAGAATCATGTTATCTCTCTTCTGTATGACAATGAATTTCAAGTGACTGATAAATATTACTACATCTATTTCACTGAGTTGAATAGCATGATATCATCAGTCTGTAATCTCACTGATCTATTATCACTTCATACAGATAAATGAGGTTCACTATTAAGCAGAAGATCAAGATTATCATGAATAAATATCTAATCTCTGTGTATTCAGTTTTTCTCTGAGTTATAAGTAAAACATGCAGTATCAGCTTCTCTGAGGAAATTAATTCTGTCTCTTATTAAATTATGACAGTATATTCTGTCTTCAGCACTGTGTGATCTCTGTGAAATTGTCAGCATTTATCAGATTCTAGAAGATGATTTGAAGCCTTTCTCAAAGAAGGCATCTAATTGCTATACAGACTTATTGAGAGAATTATTAGCTCTGATATCTGTTCTATTAATCTGAGCTGAACAGTTCATCTACTGACAATAGTTCAGCTTCTGTCTTTGAGTGATAAGCACTGCTTTCTCAGTATGAAAGCTATTTTACATTTTTATCAATCTGCTTCTTCTATCTGTCAATTATTTGAGATTCTCTTAAAGTTTGCTGACATATTTATCAATAAGAACAGTATACTTATTGAACTACTTCTTTCACTGATTAAGCTGATGTTCACATTCATTGAGCTCATTCTCTTATCAGATCAGTCAGGCTTCTAGCTATTTTAACTTCTTAATTATATCTAGTATTACTGCTTTATCAGAAGAAGTATAATTCTGACAGTCAAATTTATAAAAGTTTAAGACTATTCAATCTCTCTTCTTAGTATTCTTTGTAATGTTTGTGTAGAAGATCTGTAATCAGAGATTAATAACATTCTTTCATTTCACTACTGAAGCAGAGTTAAGAACTATTTTTATATTATTATAATATCTGACTGATACACTTATAAGAATATCTTTCACTTTGATACAATTATACAGTATTACTTGACTTTTGACACTCTTATACTGTTTATCTGTGTTTCATCAGACTTTTGTAATTATAATAGCATACTTTTCAGTTATTATTTATGAGTAAGTTTGTTCTAAGTCAGGTTTATCAGTGAATTCTCAGATGAGTCATTCAATTTCACTAATAGACTTATTCAGTTCAGTGAAAGAAAGTAGCTGATGAGAGCTGCTTTAAGTGATTCATTCATTCTGTTTCATTATTATGACAAAGCTGATAAAGTTATATAAGAATACAAAGATAAGTTTATCATGACTATAATTATATTTTAAACTGAGCACTAGTGCTATGATATTCTGAAGTGAAAGATGCTTAAATGATTATTAGCTAGACCTATCATCAGCTGTAGTACTAAATAAGATAGATTTAAATAACTGCAGATCAGATCAATTACTAGTTACAGTGCTGAAAAAGATAGAACAGCTGAATAATTACAAGCTAGATCAATCACTATCTACAGTGTTGAAAGAAGATAGAGTAACTAACTAGATTAATTATTAGCTAGTCAATTCTCAGTATTCATAGCCTGATTCAATTATCAGTGCTATATATATTAAGAGCAGAGCAGAAGTTAAAGAGGCTAGAAGAACTTAATTCTTAATATAATATACTATCAAATTGTAGTATACACTGCTATATAGAGTCAGATATAAGGATAAAAACTTGTCTTATTCTCTAAAAGATGAGAGATGAGTGTACACTCTTATATATACAGTGATTATTTTATAGAGATTAACTCTTATAAAAGAAGCAATCATCTATAAAGAGAAGAACAGAGACTCTGTAGAGAAGAAGTGAATACTCTCATAGAAGAAGTAATTATATATGAAGAAAAGAATGAAGACTCTGTAGAGAAGAAGTGAAAGCTCTCATAGAAGAAGTAATTGCATATAAAGAGAAGAACAGAGAAAGAAGATAGAAGTGAAAGCTTCAGAAAACAGTAAGAGATGAAGTGAAAGCTAGAGCTGAATAGAGAATTAACTTGAATAGAAAGTGAAAGCATGTTACAAAATAAGATCACTTTCTTATTTTTTTCAAGTTATAATCTCATTTTAAAATCTGATATATAGTCACTTTGTATGTTTTTTTAATAATTAATCTCAGTAGAATTCATGCTAAGAAATGTATAAGATCAGATTAAATGAGATTAAATATGAAATTTATAATCTCAGCAGTCAGTCTAGATACTTAAGTACTTATAATTAGAAAGAGTGTTAATTAGATTCTTTATATAAGATTATATAACTCACATATCTATGAAAAGAATACTGTGTAATTAAATTAATATATAATTAATTAATCTTTCATCTTTATTAAATAGTGAATCTGAAATCTTTAATATTTAAAATAAAGTAATTTGAAATTAATGTAATAAATATAAACTATAATTATAAGTAATATAGTATAATAACTATAAAGTTTAATCTGAGTTTTAAACAGAGATATATAGACATACTTTCTCATAGATATAATAAGTTTTAATATAAACATATATATAGAAATAAGAAAAAAGAGATTATTAAAAAATTCTCTACTTCTTTCACTTTTTCAGCAACAGAAAAAAAGAAATAATTATAAAAAATATCTGTGATATTGATTTTTTTTTTTTTGATTTTTTTTTAAAATATTTAGCATAATATGTTGTTTTGAGTTTTCTTTTTGTTTTTTCGCTGTAGAAGATCTGCTTTTTTGTAGCTGATCAAAGATTCCGAAAAACATTGATGTGAGAGCCCAAGTTCTACCTACTTTAATAACCCACTTATTAAAAAGACAAAATTTTTTTTTAGAGAGCAAGAGGTGAAACGGGAAATGAAGAAGAGAGCCGGGGGGATGTTCTCTCTCTTGAGAAAGAACGTTATGCGTATTTTTTTCAACTCAATCAACCAACCTTCTTTTTTGGTTTTCAGATACTAAGGGGCAAAAAAAGGTGGGAAAAGCAGAAAACACACACGTGAATAATATAAAAAACGAAATAATAAAATAATAATTTGTAGAACTTTCCCCGCCGCTAAAATCAAGGGGGAACGAGAGTGGGTTATGGAGAGAAAGTGCGTGCATGTGTTAGAGGGTGTCAGTGAGAGCCTTGATGGGTCGGTGATAATTGGGAAGGGTGATCAGGTGCCGGTGCGGGGTTAAGACAGGAAATTAAAGAACATGGATAATGTCGAAAAGAGGCGGGCAAAATAGCAACACACACAAAGTTTCCCTTGTACCCACTCCTCCGATCTAAAAAACAGCAAAAATACTCATTCATTTCCCCACCGCCCATTTACTCAGCAGCCTTGGGAGCCTCCTCAGCGGGGGCAGCAGGGGCGTCCTCCTTTTGCTCACTGGGAGCGGCAGCTGGGGCAGCCTCGGGGGCGGGTTCTGCCTCAGATGACGTCCAGAGAGTCTTGAGCGCGAGTTAGATATTCATTCATATTCTTCAAGAGTTGATTAGGGGGGGAATGAGGGGCACATACCAAGTTGTCTCTCAGAAGCTGCATAATAAGGGTCGAGTCCTTGTAGCTCTCCTCGCTTAGTGTGTCAAGTTCTACGGATTCAATTTAGTTTATGTTGTTCTTTTTTTAAGTGATGTCCTCTGAATCTACAACGTACCGGCAATAGCGTCATCGAAAGCTTGCTTGGCAAGGTGGCAAGCCTGATCTGGTGAGTTGAGGATTTCGTAGTAGAAGACAGAGAAGTTGAGAGCAAGTCCCAGACGGATGGGGTGGGTCGGGGCAAGATCGGTCTGAGCAACTTCAGTCGCATTTTTGTAAGCCTCGAGCGACTTGTCAGCAGAGGTCTTGCGCTTGTCTCCAAGTGCGAACTCTGCGAGATAGCGGTGGTAGTCTCCCTTCCTAAAACCGACAGATAGATCAGAAAAACAGGCCAATAGAGGATCGAAGTGGAGGAATCAGATAGTTCCTTACATCTTGTGGTAGAAGACCTTGGATTCTCCGGTTTCCGCTGAGGCGATAAGATGCTTATCGAGCACATCGAGGATATCCTCGCAGATCTTGGCCAATTCGGTCTCGATCTTTTGACGGTACTCCTTAATAAGAGCAACCTGCGACTCGTTGCCTTTCGACTCTTCCTTTTGCTCAATGGAGGTGACGATTCTCCAGGACGCACGACGGGCGCCAATCACGTTCTTATAAGCAACGGAAAGTAGATTGCGTTCCTCAACGGATAGCTCTTTATCTGCGGAAGCCACAATCTTCATGTTCTCCACCATTTCTAATCCAGAGTCAATATTTCCCTTGTCATTGTAGGCGCTTGGGAAGAGTAGCATATTTATTGCACGGACCTTCGTAGCGCTCGGCCTGCTCGGCGAGCTTGGCCAGATATACAGCATCTTCGTAGCCCATTATGAATCAAGGCTCCTACAACCGACGTATGTTAGTGTGAGGTAGACAGGGGTCCGATGAACAACACATTCAACTGTTAGACATTGATTGCTATTGAAACCGAGCGAAACGGAAAAGAGGAGTTAGCACGAAAAAGAGGGGTCATCATCCTTCTTTGGAGCATCTTGAAAGTAGAATCGAAATTAAAACCCCGAACGAATGCGCAAGATGGAACTTTTATGTAGAAAATATGTGTGACGAAGATGGGGGGTGATTTGGTGGTGGATTGCTGGGAAGTTTCCACGCGATCCAGATGTTGCTGTGACACCGCCCGATAGAACTCCACAACCAACAATGAAATACGATGAACAGTAGGCAACTTGGGAAATACGGGAGCGTAGATAAGGATGAACGTTATCAGGAGAATGCGACTCGAGAACAGATAGTCTTGGGCAAGAATACCAGAGGGTGCTGAAGCAGCGATCGAAGCTGGTTGCTGAGGCAAGGCAGTGGAATCACGCACACAAAACAAGACACGCTTCTTACCTGGAAGAGATATAACGCGTTGCAAAAAGTAAGGCAGAGGACTGACAAAGAGTTAAAATCTCGCGGGGAAGTAGTAGTTGGACGACTAGGGGGAAGATTGGGAAGCAGACCAAGCAGCGGGTGTGGTGGTGGTGGGTGGTTGGGCAGAGATGGAGACAGGGCGAGTGTTGGAATAATCGGGGGGAAGAAGAAGGTTGAAGATAGAAGAAGAAACGGAGGTGGATCAGGTGAGGAGGTGACGGAGTAGTCAGCAACACGGGCCCCTCTTTAGGCAATTCCAACTTCCGCCTTTCACAACCAACCACTGTGGCTGATAGATTGAAATAAAAAGTGTCTGACACGTACGCGATTGCTCTAGTTACCCATTATTGTATATTGTATTTCATTGTATTTCATTGATTTTCCATGACTCTCTGTACAGATTGCTCTTGACTTCGGCAAGCAATGCCCCGCAGCCTGCTGCTAGACATAACATCTACTGGTGGTATATTTCAAATCGTTTAAATGTCCCTCCTACCTTGTATTTAGTAGAGAAGACTTATATTCCTACGCGGTATTTTACACCCAGGGCGGATCTATGAACTGTGCGTTAATGTTCTCGATTCCTCAATAATTAATGCCACAGCCGTTGAGCCACCAGAATTTTGACGGCTCTAGTTTAAATTTCAACGCTAAGAAGCGCTGTGCATGCAAGGCGTATTTCTTGCAGTTTCGTGGGCACTACCATTATTTTGCTCACTACGACTCTTCGCAAGTGGCGGTAGGTGGGCAGGCTGGCAAGGCTGCAATTGAGATAGAAATCAGTACAGTACAATAAAATATCATCATAATTCGGCGCCAGTGTTCTCCCCACCTTACCCCGGTTCGTCTGTTAAACACACTTTTCAACCCAGAAAGTATCATACAACAAATCTACCAGGATTAAAATGGTTCTTCTTGATAATAGATAGGAAGAGGGGCCAATAGGGACACCAAGAGAGAATCAGGGCGTCACTCTTATTGCTTATTCCACGTCTCAGTTACCAGTTTAAGAGGAGACGTCTGAATCAGCCAAGACGGGACTTTGTAAAAGCAAAATTATCTACTCCAACTCTTCATGGATTAAAATGATAAAATAAGTTGGGTAAAATATTTCATCACCACATTTGGAACCATATTCCATATATGCTGGCCGGTTTCACAATTTCCCCAATTCTTCGCAGCGAATTATGTGTGGCGAGGAGAGATGTCATGTGATGTGCGTTGGGGGGTGACTGAGTCAGCAATGACGCACGCTTCCAAGGTTCCAGGGTTGCCGAAGAAAGCTAGCGTATTGACGGAGTACAATAATGAAGCAACCTAACGACATTCCTTGCCTCCCAAATCAAACATCGCTCTCCCACGCTCAAGCAAATGTACGAAGCCCTCCCTTGTAATAAAAACATATGCACTAGCCATTATTGAAGGCAGGTCGCTAACAAATAAGCTTCCAGTTCTCCCTTCTCTCTTACCTACCTTCCAACGTAGCTCAGCCTTCACATACATCCCCTCCTCACAAAGAACTACTTCATACCACGATCAAACATGCTCCGTCAAACTGCCAGACCTCTTCTCCGCGCTAGCCAGCTGCCCCTCAAGCGCTTATTCTCCGTTGCTGCCGTAGGAATGGCTGAAGGTGACGTTGGTTCTCCCCGGGCAACTGGGAAACTGTCCACTAGGTAGGTAACGTCGTTGCTTTGGTTTTTTATCAGTCCGTTCCCCTGCACACCTGCAAGACTACCCACCATCACAAACGAGACCGCTTTTCAGATGGGTCTATATAAAAGAAGAAGGCAAAGAAACTTGGTTATCTGAAAAACAGGAAAACTAATGGATACTCTGGTGTTGAACAATAGCAATTCATGGAGCAAGAAGGAAGCTGCCGATGAAGCCATGTTTATCAAGCAACGGGAGATGGAAAAGTACGTCTTCGTTCCTTTGTCATTCTTACTTCCGCCTCCCCCGATTCCCCCGATTCCCGTTCCTTTCTTACATTGAAAATGTCTTAAAGAATTGAAAAATTGGAAGGTCGGGAGGGCAGGAGCCTACAACTTGGGAAATCTAATTTACTAAACATTTGAAACTGTATCGAACAGGCTACGAAGCTTAAGAGAAAAGCTGAAGCAGCAGCGCCAGCATCTCGATGAACTTGATGCTCATATGTACGTGTTCATATACTTCTTTCCCCTCAAGTCACTGCTCTTTTTGCATTTGCAAAGAACTATAACAAGCTATTTTATATGTATCTCTCTGACGAGTGTGAAATTCCATTACAGCGAGCAACTCACCAAGGAACACGGTGGTGAGCAGAACTAAACAGGAAACTAAAAATAAAAACCGCTTCCGGATAGCTTTTTGATTCTCCTTCCCCTTCCTTTTCTCCCCAGTGCACCGTATCTGTGCAAGGCAACATTTGTATAAAGGATCAAAGGGAATTTAGGGGCAGAATATGAACTATGAAAGTATGGGGGGAAAAAAGAGAAGCTCAAACAACAGAAAGAAATTGACACTGAAACACTAGGTTGTCTTTTTTGTGTTGCTTTTCTTTTAATTCTCTGATGGGATTTTTCGTTTTGCTCCCATTCTAAGCATCATCTCCCCTCTCCTTAACACTCTTACATACATACATACTTGCTTGACCCGTCAAACAGTCAACTGGTGAAGAAGATAGTTTGGAATATATCTTTGTATATATACATATATAAATCGTTTTTCTCCTGTGTGCGGTTCATTCGTTTTCTCCATTTTCTCTTGTCCCTGTTGGATTTCTTGGTATTTCCTTGGATTCTTTTTCCTTTCCATTTCTTCCCCTGTTCCTCCTTGTAGGGTCGTCGAAATCAATTCAAGCAAAACACATGTTTTTCTTTTGAAATGGGTGATTTGCGCTCAGTTTCAAATTGGAACGTTGGAGTGTATAGTGTAGGTAGGTACAGTACCCACTGGCCTCGGGATATGTCCATATGCCGGATCGCAAACTTGGAGGCCTGGGCTATGGTTTTCTTGCTGTAGGTTTCCGTCCCAGACAAGTAAGCGGATTCATCCATAGAAATGGCCATTGCCAGAGGGGGAGGAAGTGACGAAGACGGAGAGGGGCCGGGGTAGTACAGTAAACAGTACATATACTCATTATTACTTCGTTGTCATGAAACTTCGGTGAGAAGGGTGAAATCCAGGCCCAGATAGAGCTGTTCTGGAAGCTTGATTTGATTGTCAAGTTTTAAGATGAAAATATAGTCGGTCACTCGGTCTGACCTTATTTTTTATCGGCAGGATTAAAGTAAAACTAGCGACAAGCGGTCCTAATGTATTACAAAAACTTTTGCTCACAATGAGCAGTGGAAAAGGTATTTAAAATAACGGGTAGTATGGGATACGACAGTGTACAAAATTTGATTGCCTAAAGAAACATGGGTGATGGATGATAGAATAGTAAAAATAACACAAGAGGAAAAAAGATCCCAAGGCGTCGGGTATACCGAAAAGTTTCCTACCACAAGTTGATATCCAGAGGGAAATTTTTTGTTGACTAAGCCTCCCCTTTCAACTCTTACATCAGTTCTTCCTTTACCGACGGCCCATGTAAGCTCTGTAAAAGTCATCTGCGGCACCTCCGCCACCCATCCCATTTCCAATTCCATTCCGAAGCTGGCTATATGTGCCTTGATGTTGATGGGCACTAAGAGAGCCACCTAGCTTTTTGCGCAGCAGCGATCTTTGCATGTAAATTGGCCGTGCCTTGATCGATGAGTTGAAGTTGGGAAAGGTGCGAATTGAGGATACGGACGATTTGAGAGATCTGGAAGGGTGTAAAGCGTTAGGGTTAGCAAAACTCATATGTTATTTATATATAACATAGAAAAATAGTAATTGCTCAGTGGGACATACAGGTTCATCGGATTTGGAGGTCTTGCTCAAAGTGGAGGAGGCGGAATTGACCTCCTCGATCATGCTTGTCAAGTCCTGGCCCATTTCATTGAGTCGTTCGGAGAGACGTTCCGCGAGTTTGTATCTGGGCAAGATTAGTTTAGCATGATGGTTTTGCTAGAGTGGGGGGACCAGGAAATAATATGGTGGCTTGGTAATGGAGCAAGTTGGACTTACGTTCGTTCACGCTCTTGGTCAGGTCCTTGCAATGAATCCGTGATCCCAACCTGCTTCGACAACAAAGCCTCAACCTCTTGTTCATATCTATCGAGCCACGAGCTCAATTCATCTTGTTGTCCCTCTACAGATGCTAATTGGCGTTCAACTTCCTGTGTAGCTCTTTCCGCATCGACTGTATTACCGTACAGTTTCTGCACCTTTGTTCCATTTTCCACAAGCATCCGATCCCAATCGGCAACCTGCTCAGCTTGTTCTTGGAATTCCTTTTGATATTTTGTTAAATCAGTCGCCCAGCGGGTGATGATCTCATCCATGGTTTTATTTTTGAGCCGCGATTGTGCTGGAGGAGCTGGGCCTACGGTCGACGCCCCAAGGCCACTAGCGGTGGCTGGAGTTGATGTTGTTCCACCAGCACTAGTAGTGGCAGTGGTGGCGCCTGTTGTAGGTGCAGCAGTAGTTGTTGCTCCAGCAGCAGAGGTCGTTGCTTGAGATCTCACTGGAGCTGTCGTGGTCGTCGGCTTACCAAGGCTGAACATTCCACCTGCTGGCTGGCTTGAAGTAGTAGCCGGGGTAGTTGAATCTTTGGGAGTATTGGTTTTCGGGGTAATTAGGCCAGCAAATAGCCCAGCAGCAGGTGCTGCTGTCGTTGTGCTTGTAGTCGATGGAGTAGTAGTAACCGCCGTTGCTCCAAAAAGAGGCTTCTGGGCAGTTTCTGACATTGTGGCTGGTGTAAAAGCACCCGAAGTGGGTTTGGAGGAAGGAAAGCTAAATGGCTTTTGTTGTGATTGAGCTCCCGAAGTCCCAGGAGTATTGAATAGCGAACCAGATGCCTGGGGAGTGGTTGATATCGCGGGTGCATCGAATAGGGGCGGGGTCGGTTTTGCCTGTGGTTTCCCTGTCTCCACGGCCTGACCTTTAGCGGCCGGAGAAGCGAATAAGTTACCCGTACTTGGCGTTTGCGATTGGGAAGCGCCTTTGAATAAACTTGGCGCTGCTGCGGTTGTTGTAGGCGCGGCTGCTGACGATAGGGCGTTTGTGGTTACGCCTAGACTCCCGAAAGAAGTAGAGGAAGCTGGCTTTTGTCCGAAAAGAGATGCTGACTCCCCAGGTTTTGTCGATGCTTGGCTTGTGAAAAGGCCCTGCCCAGCTGAGGTCTGAGGAGGGGGTCCGGCAGGTGTAGTTGACATGTTGCCAAATAATGATGCTCCGTTCGACGGTGCTGGAGTAGCATTCCCAAACAAACCACCCGTTCCTGGAGCCGTTTTGCCTGCTTCTCCAAATAACACAGTCTGAGTTTGGCCGGATGATGCAGGTTCTGTTGATTTAGGAGTCTGGCTTGCACTTCCAAATAGGTTCGTCGCCGAGGCTTGTCCTGGGTTTGAAGGATTCCCAAACGGGTTGCTGGAAGGGGTGCCGCCAAACGTAGGTTTTGAGCCTTGACCACCAAACAAAGAAGCCGTCTGCCCTGTTTCTGGGGTTGTCGTAAACAAAGATGAAGAGGAGGAACCTGTCGTTGTTGTCGGTGTCGCGCCGATATTTCCGAAGAGACCACCAGAAGGCTTTCCGGACGCGGGTTGGGAAAATGGTGATGCGCCAGCCGTACCAAATACAGGAGGAGTATTGGAACCTGCCGATGTTGACGGGGTCCCGAACTGAAATGGGTTAGACATCGTGGCAGATACTTGCGGTTTGTTTCCCTGGGTTTCAGAACCGGTGTTTCCTAAGAGTTGGCAATAATCAATAATCTGTCAAAAATCTGGTTGGCATAGGATCTAAACTGACAAACTTACAAATGGTGAAACCCGGTATAAGTATAGCAGAGTTAGCTTGTGTAACAGTTAGAAGGTTACTATACGGGTGTCCAAGGGGTGGCAGTTCTCAGTTCTATGCCCTTAACGGTGGAAGCAGCAGGCAGCGTTCTCCTTTTGCTGAGAATCGCCCGTCGTGGTGATGGTTTTTGCACAGCTCTTTTAGCAGTTGCGGCCAGGTCTGTGTATATTTATCGTACCATACAACCATTCGAGAGGACTCGCCCAAATTACTTCCGGAAACGGTAACAATACAGGCTGAGTGTTTTTTGGGGCTCCAGACCGCCTTGGCAGAATCCGAGCGGGCTTAAATCGTCAGATGAGGCCTTCGCTGTTTCTTGTTCGTTTGCCTGTTCATCTCACACACAACCTGGCTACTATTAGGGATTTGAAGCAGGTAATAACTTCACAAGTAACTACGCTATTTGTGTTGATCTATGGGCGTTGATCTGGAGGACTTGGGACCTTTCCAATGACAGAGCGGCGTTCCCGCCCTCCTAGCATCTTGCTGGAGCCACCCCCAAAAGGGGTTGAGCTGGACGACCCTGGGGCTCAACCATCCCGTATGCTTTATTCCTTCCTAATGGTCTAAAATTTAGTAGAAGTGGATGGCAGCTAACTTTCGCGTTATCTACAGCGTGTGAAAGTGAAGAGGAGCACTTTTCCGATGCTTCTGAAGGCATCGCACCCAGCCTACGGTCTCGAACACCCTCGCCAATACCCCGGACGCGCGTAGAGAAAATTGACAATTCTCCAAGCTACGGCGAGGTTCCTGGCTCCCCTGCGTACGAAACAAGGGGATTGGACGCTGTTCCAGATGAAATCGAGATTCTCGGCAACGGACCACCCAGCAGACCAGGGTCAAGGGCAAGCACAAGAGCAACCTTAGACCCAAAGATGGTACCGCGAACTATTGTCGAGAAAATCGATCCCAGTTCACCGAGCTACGGAGAAGAGCCAGGAACACGCGCCTACGAATCTCATAAAGCAGATTCTGCGCCGGATATGATATTTAAAATACAAGAACAATCGTCTCAACCCTGCATTACATCACCTGATCAACCGCAAAATAGCAGCACTGAGGGAAGCCCGGTTCCGGAAACCATGCTTTGCCGGGTTGAATCTCCAGGTGAACACGATTTACGACGCTCATTTACTGCGCACCGACGAGGCCCTAGTGATTCACTTCCAGATGTTATCCAGACAGTTCCAGACGTGCCAGGTAAGCTTTCTCCCTGCTCCTTGGCCGCTCCCTTCTCGGATTTCAGAGGGACGATTGACCAAACCAGGGTCTCCAAACTCTTCGACGAGTAGATCCGAGCATCGAAGCCATGTCCGACGGAAAAGCTCCTTAACAGAAAAACAGACATCTGACGATCGTGCTGCACATGATTCCTCTGAAAATGAACCTGATGATCAAGCCCTTGGTGACGATTTTTATGACTTCGATGGAGAGGAAAATGCTGAAGAGGATGATTTCGGTGATTTTGGAGAAGCTGCATTTCAACAACCAACGGAGGTTGTCAATGAGGATACGGGTCAAATTACCAGTGTCCCCGTGCAACAACCTCCCTCACCCTCCCTTGTAAGTAGCCTTAGCATAAAGTACAATCCCAGACACAGATACAACCTATCTGGCGATTCCGAGACATTTATTTCCTGGAATCTAGCCTACCGTTGATTGGCCCTCCAAAAGAAAGAGGAACTGTAAACTGATCGGCTATCATATTCAATACAGCCGACCCTTTTAGACTTCAACTCCATAAAAAACCTCCAAGACCTTCTCACAGCAACATGCGACCAACTCAACTCTTTGTTCCCCGGCTCCGCAAATCTCCCATCCCTCCCACCCCTTTCTCCCATCCCAGACTCCGACATATTCATCACTGAACGTTCTCGATCACTCTGGTCCCAGCTTGTCTCACCACCTCCCCTCCAACCTGCCAATTGGACAAAGTCTCACATCCGCCGTGTTTTCCTCGTCTCCCTTGGCGTCCCTGTCGACCTAGACGAAATCCTCCCCGCATCCAAGCAGAAAAAGCTAGTGCTGCCCTCAATAAATTTAGAGGGCAATTCCCAATCCTCCTCCAACTCAGCTACCGGCGCTCCATCCTCCGCTAGCAAAGCGAAAAGGGATGGCCAGGGGCGGTCCTCGGGGCCTCATGGCTCAGGTCGCTCTACATCACGTAGCCGTCCACCGCGACGTCGTGGACCCGAACCTCCTCCTGAACTGGACCTTTCAGCCGTCCGTCGCCTATGCGCCACCACGGATGCTGCCCTGGATAACTTTGCAGACAACGAGCTGCGGCAGCATATCTCCTGGTTGGAGCAGATGACCGTACGTGCCAGCGAGGTATTGGAGTACTGGTTGAAGCGGCGCGATGCGCAGATTGGAGAGAAAGAGGCGTTCGAGGGTGTTATTGAGAACCTGGTCAAACATGCTAGGCAGGTGAGGAAGTAAAAATAGTCTAGCTTACTCATGCTTTTGCCCTGGTGCACGCAATGGGTATATACATACCCGGGCCATCTACGTATATTCATATGCATGCATATAATCGTCGTATCATATTTATACCCTCATCAGATCGTTGTCTTGCAGCAGGCGACGTAGACAGCAATGGAGTTAAGGAGGACGAAATAGGCCCGGGCGAAGGAAGAGAAGTCTAAAAATAAAAAGACAGAAAATAACGCGATGGGAAAAGCAGACCTTTTCTTTCCTTGCGCCCTTTTCTTTTAATTTCCCCTCTTCCTGCAAAGGAGTCCTGACTTCCCTTTCTTCGCCCACCCTACCTATCGAGATCGACACATACACCGACCGCCTTTTCAGGAGTTTATTGTTTACGTTTTATAACTTTGTTTCCTCATTGAGCATTTTCGATTCTCAACCTGGATCTGACTCTGGTAGTCTTCACTGTTCACCACCTTAGTCATATTTTAATATATATAGGAGGTACCTAGAGCCTATGCTTATTAACTAACATGTATTTCTCCTGTGCCTTTTGTGTTATTCTCTTGTTATTCTCTCAGGGCGTGAGATTTTGGTAATATCAGGTTTAGCACTTGGGTAGATAATAAATAAGCTTGTGTCTAAGAAGGGCAAAAATAAAGAAAACTTGTTTAGTTTACAAAATTTCTCATGCTGTAACATGATCAACCACTCAACACTCACTTACACTCAATGCCTGTCATTTCATCATCACTATGATGAAATATTTTCAATGATATCTCAACAATGCAATTAGATTTTAAGGTGATATATTATATGATGAAAATATATATAGAAAACTACACATAAAAATATACAGCTAATTCTGTAGATATTTATTTGACTTAATAACTTATCTAGAATATGAAATTTTAAATGAAGACAGATTTAGTGAGTAACTAGTTATTAAATTAGTAGAGATTATAATATTATCAGATTTCTCTGATAGTGAATCTATAAGTACTCTGACAGAGCTCTGAAAATGTAATTTAGTTACTTTTTATAAAATCAAGAATCTACTTTTCTGATTAGAAAGATAATTTTTAAATTCTTTAATTTTTTTCTTATTTAACTGTGATTACTGTTATACAGTAGTTTATTCTTTCTTCTCTTTTTACTCTTAAGTCTTTTTTATATCTCTAAGCTTCTTTTTAATCTGTTATTAAGCAGCTCTTACAGTCTTATTTATATCTATTTACTACTTTATTATTTAATAAGCTGTCACTTACTTCATTCTCTTCTTTATAATATTTATCTTCTTCTATTTCTTAAGAATAATATATTATAACTTAGTATTTTTCTTACAAGTTTACTTATTCTTTTTAACTGCTTTAAAAGTTATTACTTTTTTATATATAATCTATATCTCTACTGATGAAAAGAACTATATTAATAATAAATTTGAAAAATCTAGTAATTTTATTACTCTATTTTACTTATAATATCTTCTCTTTTAATGAAGAGCTTATTATAGCTGTCTATTCTCTATTAGAGAAATCTCTTTATTAGAAGTAAGATTTTTTCTTATATAAATTACTTAGTTAAGATTAGACTGATCAGTGAGATTAGACTGATTATCAGAACTATAAATTTCACATTTAATCTCATTTGATCTGATCTCATACATTTCTTGGCGTGAATTCTGCTGAGACTGACTATCAAAAAAACATGCAAAGTAACTATATATCAGATTTTAAAATGAAACCATGACTTGAAAAAAATGAGAAAGTAATCTCATTTAGTTTCATTTAGTTCCATTCTTGGCATAAAGTTACTATTTTTAGACATTTTAAGGTTTTTTTAGACTATTTTTAATTTTTTAAAAAGTAACACTTTTTGATAACACTCAAATAAGATTTAAAGTCATTTAAAGTAATAAAAATAATTTAAATTGAGAAGTGAAAATCATGATCTCACTTGAAAAATGTGATAAGAGTAGACAGTAAGTCTCACTGAGACAGTATGAGACTACTATCTAATGTTAAAACTATGTAATGAGATCAGTTGAATTGATAATGAGATCATTAAAAAATCTGATTCTGGTTTCAGACACGGTCACACAGTCAGTCTAAGTGAGATCATGAATTTCATATTTAATTTCATTTGATCTGATCTCATACATTTCTTAGTATAAGTTTCATTAGAATCAAGTCTTAAAAAAATCTGAAAATGAATCATTTCTGAGAGAAATGATATGAAAAATGATCAGATTTAATTGAAGAACAGTGAAATAAGAGTAATTTCTCAGAATAAACTATAAAAGATAATCATTCTTTTAAAATCAGAATGAGACTGAGACTGAAGATTAAAATCAGTTCTATTCAGTTCATTCAGTAATTGCTTATATAATCAGAATTTGATAATAATTATTGATAACACTCATGAAATAATTAAATATATTCTTGTGTAAGTTTATTCTTTACTTTCTTATAAAAACTACACTTCTCTGATATACTGTGATCAGAGGTATTAAACTGTCTGATAATTTTATATTTTATAATCATAAGTTTCTTGATTATTTCTTCTTATAATTGCTCTCAGTAATAGTGATAAATATCTCAACTTAAGTTGAACTTTCACTTTATTCTTATCTCTGTTAATAAAATTGTCAGAATATTATATATTATCAGTGTAACAGTTGAATATATACTCTTAATAATTTTTTATAACTCTAGAATTGATTTGATATGTAAATTCATCAGATTATCTTGAAGATAGCAGTTAAATTCAG